GGAGTTCTATTGTTAGTTTCCTGAGGAACCTCCACACTGTTTTCCAGAGGGGCTGTACCAGTTTACATTCCCACCAACAGTGTAGGAGGGTGCCTGTTTCTCCACATCCTCGCCAGCATCTAGAGTTCTCTGATTTGCTCATTTTAGCCACTCTGACTCTTCTCCAAAGAGGACATCCAGATGGCCAACAGACACATGAAATAAATACTAACTCTTATTATGTTAAATATTTTAAGGTTTTTGGTGTATATATGGTCCAGTTGCCATCAAAAATGTTGCAGGGGTGTATGGGTGGCTCAGTTAGTTAATTGTCCGACTTCAGCTCAGGTCATGATCTCACGGCTTGTGGGTTCAAGCCCCACATCAGGCTCTGTGCTGACAACTCAGCCTGGAACCTGTTTCGGGTTCTCTGTCTCCCTCTCTCTGCCCCTCCCCCACTTGCATGGGCACGTGCTCTCTCTCTCTCTCTCCTTCTCTCTCTCTCACTCTCAAAAATAAATAAAACAAATAAACATAAAAAAAAAAGAATGTTGTAGAAGCACCTGGGTGGCTCTTTCATTAAGCGTCTGACTCTTGATCTCAGTTGAAGTCTTGATCTCAGGGTATGAAGCCTGACTTTTTAAAAATGTTGTAAAATTACAGAATGTTGAAAAAGAGAAACTGATCTCTTTCCTCAGGCAGCTCACAGTATTAAATATTTACTACTGGATTTATGATACAATTTTGGGTGTGACAGGTGCTTCCAAGGGGAAGTTCAGTGTGCAAAGAGGACACATTAGCAGAGACTTTATTTGATCTAGGGATTAGGGACCGTTCTTTATGAAGTGCTGCTTAGGGTGAGGTGTACAGGGGAGGCTCACTTGCTGACATGCCGTCCAGCCAGGGGGGACACTTTGAAGGCCTCAGTGAGAAGGCGTTTGGCTCTTGCCAGATCATTCAGAGTTTGAGCCCAGGTTAGAACTCCTGACTTTATCCTAAGGACACTAGGAGCTGCTAACAAGTTTTAAGCTGGGGAACTGCAAAATCACAAGTTTGTTTGCGAAAGATCATCTTTGTCTTTTCTGGTAAACTGTGTACTCTCTGCAGGCAGAGGCCATATCTGCTTGTTGCCTTATTGCATTCTTATTATCTAGCATTGTGTCTGGCATAACATAAATGTTTCTAGAAAGAATAAATGAACAAACAGATGAATGATGAATATTGAATCACAATCGACATTTTGTTATATATACCAACATGCGCATATGCACAAAGTAGAGCATGCTTTATACCCTATTTTATAACATCTTTTTCCTTTTTTTAAGTTTACTTATTTATTTTGAGAGAGAGAGGAGCAGAGAGAGAGAGCGCGCGCGCGAGAGAGAGAGAGAGTAAGAGAGAGAGAGAGAGAGAGAGAGAGAACCCTAAGCATGCTCCATGCTGTCAGCATAGAGCCTGATGCAGGGCTCAAACACACAAACCGTGAGATCATGACCTGAGCTGAAACCAAAAGTCAGACACTTAACTGACTGAGCCACCCAGGCACCTCAGTATCTAAATATTTTTAAGTGACCTTTTAGACCGACTAACGAAAGTTTGAATGCTAAATACTATTTGTCATTCTCTGCTGAATAGTAATAGCTAATACTGTTGGCTGCTTCTTATGTGCCAGACAATGCTCTGAGGGTTTCTGTGCATTGTCTCATTTAATACTCCTAAGAGTCTGATGAAAAAGATGCTATTATCACTCCCATTTTTCAGATGAGGAAGCTGAGGCAGAGAGGTTAAGTGACTTGCTCAAGATCATGGAGCTGATAAAGGCAGAGTCAAGCTGCAAGCCCTTCTGCGGCAGAAATCCTGCTCCCGACCCCTCTTTACACTGCCTCTTGTCCACTGGCAGGAGACCCTAGAGAATAAGTTCCTCACACAGTGCTCTCCAGGGGCCAGCGCTGCCAGGGTTATCCCCGTAATCCCAGGAACAATGACAATAATCACTTTGTTGCTTTCTTGGCATTTTTGCTACAAGGTGACTCATGCACCCTCGGAAGCTTGGGTCACCTCTGACCAGAGAGTCACTTTTCTAGGCCCATTGGGGGAGGTAGATCTTCAGATCAAGGTCCCTAATGTGAGGCAGCCCAGGACCAGGCCCAAGAGAGGAAAAACTGAATCATGTTCTAAGGTCACAGGACAAAGACTGAGGACTCTCATCCAGAAGACAACTGGTTGTTATAACACACCTGAAACCCTCCATGTTGGGGCTTCCCTCTCTCTCTCTTCTCTGTAGGACCCTCTTTAAGTTGTGGTGGCTTCTTATTCAATGCCAGCGGGACATTTTCCAGCCCATTCTACCCCGGATACTACCCCAATAATGCTGACTGTGTCTGGGAAATAGAAGTGAAGCCCGGCTATCGCATAAATCTGGGATTCAACAGTCTGCAGTAAGTAGCACCCAGGTCATCTGGTGAAGGATGGCCCTCTATGGTTTGGGTTGTGTGCTGGGCTGAGATGCTTTCTGCTCTCAGACACCATGGACCTCACATTATGTTGCTCTGATCTTACCACGAAGAGTCTGGCAACATTGGGAAGTCCTTTAATCTGACTGAGGAACAGCCAGAAGAAAATTTTAGATCCCGTGGAAGTCGAACCTATCTATAAAATACAGGAGCAATAGAAATTTCGATGTTGACATGAATCCACTTTCTCATGCAGGCTGGAGACGAACAATAATTGCAGTTTTGATTATGTTGAAGTCTCCGATGGACCGCTGAATAGCAGTAGCTTGCTGGGGAGAATTTGTAATCACACCAGGCACATATTCACCTCTTCTTACAACCGAATGATTGTTCGATTTCGAAGTGACATCAGTATCCAAAACACCGGCTTTTCTGCTTGGTATAACTCCTTCCCTGCAGGTGCGTTCACACTAAACCCCACAGACCTGACCTTGGAGGCTCAGTGTGTTTGTGTGGCTGCTGCTTCTGGGTGTCGTGGTTCCCGTGTGAAATCAAACAGCCAGATGTTGCCCCTCCTCCTTGTCTCACAGTTAACTGTGGTAAACCAAGGCCAAGAGATGTGGGGAATAGGGGACACAGCCTGGTCTTGGGTTTGCCACCGACTTCCTGGGAGACTTGGTGACTGACCTTACATGCCAACATGTCCCCAGCTGGAGAGTGAGGGGGTCTGAGCTCTGTGGTGTCTTAAGCTCCTCCCAACTTGATCCTGGAGGTGTCTGTGCCCTGATCAGCCACCTGGTGACTTTAGGTGTGAGAAAGGCCCATGGGTTATTTGGCCTTTGAGATCTGTGGTGGGAATGGTCGTCATTTGTGATGCCATGTGTCTTTCAGATGCCAGCTTGAGATTAGTCAATTCAAACTTCTCCTACGGCGCGTGTGCCGGGCGCGTGGAAATTTACCACAATGGCAGGTGGGGAACGGTTTGCGATGATTCATGGGACATTCAGGATGCCCAAGTGGTCTGTAGACAGCTACAGTGTGGACATGCAGTATCAGCCCTGGGAAATGCCCATTTTGGGTCCGGCTCTGGTCCCATCACTCTGGATGATGTGGTGTGCTCGGGGATGGAATCTACGCTCTGGCAGTGCCAGAGCCAAGGCTGGTTCTCCCACAACTGTGGCCACAGTGAAGATGCTGCAGTCATTTGCTCAGGTACCACATGATGTCATTCATGGAAGGCCCCTTTCACCTCTGACCTGCTACAGAGGGACAGCTAAGGGCTGGTGGCTGACAGTGTTTGTAGCTCAGTTCGGTCGGCGGCGGGGGGGGGGCGGGGGGGAGGCGGACCAGAGCTTGTCAGCTTGTGCCTTCGGCCTTCCCACTCCAGGAGGCCACGCAAGGGCCACGGTGTCTCCGGTGGGTTTCTGGGCCCTGGAGCCATTATGCTGGACACACAGCTGGCGTGCAGTGTGTTCTCGCCCTTCCGTTCACTCTGTGACCTTTAGCAATGAGAACATGTCTGTAAGCCTCAGTCTCCTTGTGTATGAAGAGGAGATGGTCACGATAAGCCTGCTTCCAACGACTAAATTAGAGAGCTGAGTAGCTCACACGTGAACCCTTAGAACAATTCCAGACAAGTAGGAAATGAGGAATAAGTGATGGTGTGACTTTGGCTGTGGCACCAATGACCCCCAGGTAATGATGGGGCTGGAGAAGCAGCTGGGGAGATGCGCCCAGGCCTCCTCCCAGTAACACAGGCTTCTATAGCACAGGTGTGCTCACTGAAGGGGTCAGACTGTGTCCCTTGGTTGTGCCTGTCCCTCATTCTGGCCCCTCCTCCAGCCTCACTTCAGTGACTGATGTTTTTTTTCTATCCCTTTACAGGAAGCTCCTTTACAACACCGGGTGAGTACCATCCACTGTCTGGCTGGCCCTCCCCACTGATGGTGCAAGGTGTTCCGCTCAGTTCCCAAGAGTTGCCCCCAGTGCCTTCCCTAGCACTGGTATCTCCTGCAAATAATGTCTTCCCCCGAGGAGGGCTGGGCCTCTCTCTAGGCTCCCTTTGTCCATCAGTAGCCTGGCCAGCCTGAGATTCAGCTCTCTGGTCACCACTAGGAAAGGCCAGACACCCATGTAGGTTCTGCCTATTTCCTTGGACCCCAGACCCTGCTCACTGCAGGCCAGTGGGTCCTGCTTCATCACTGAACTCCACGTGGAACCAGCAAAACTCCTGATTGCCCACTCCGGAGCTGCAGCCAAAATTGCTCCAAGCATTTCCAATACATCCCTGGCTCCTGAGATCATTCCCTTCCGTCCCCATCCCTCCCGTCCTTACCACCTACTTCCTGCAGCAGGGACCCCTCAGCTTCCTCACCTCCATTCTTCACATGGCAGCTGGGCGTCCTTACAAAATGCCAGTGTTGGTCCCAGCCTCCACACCCTTGCACCCTTCATGTGACTCCCCAGGGCCATCTGGCCACAGATCCCTACTGCTTGGGGCAGTCTCTAGAGCTCTCCATGATCTACTTTCTTTGTCTGTTTGATTTCCTCCCCCACCCCTCCCTGCTCCATCCACACTGGTGTTCCTTAAGTGTGCAATGTACTCTCAGACCTGGGTCCCTTTGCACATCCTGTCCCTTCTGCCTGGAATGCCCCTGTACTTTTTTGCCTGATTCCAACTCCTTAACCCCAACCCCCCCCCCCAACACTGGAAAATTACCTGCCCTCTTTCCTCTGCTCAGTCTGGATCAAGAGCCAATGCTCTGGGCTCCCACCATGTCCTGGGCTTACCCTGATCACAGCCCCATCCTGCTATGCTGGGATTTGCTCTTTCCTGTCCCCCCACCTCCCCCCCGCCAAGCTGTGAGCTCCCTGAGGGCAAGTATCCAGCATTTGGCTGTGAACCCAGAGTTAGCACATTTCTGCACAGAGCCAGTGAGCACTCAACAACCGTGTTCTCGATGCCAGGAAACTGATTGTTATCTTTTCTCTTTGTCAATAGCTCCAGCTCACAGCGTCACCCACCCGAACAGTAAGTTCTGGGCTCTCTGAGAAATCCTCTTCTCCTTCCCCTCAGTGACCAGGTGGGGCGGCAGGGTTTGGGGGGAGCCTCCCTGGACAGTCTGGGTCTAGGCCACCTCCTGTTGGGTTTCTGTCTAAGGAGTTGATTAAAAATCTCCCCCAGGTAACTGTGCTGTGGGCTCTGGGGGTCCTCAACGTTTCCGTTTCATCCCCACAGCAAATTATTCCTGTGGAGGCTTCCTGACCCAATCATCAGGGCACTTTTCCAGCCCGTTCTATCCTGGGAACTATCCAAACAATGCCAGATGCTTGTGGGACATTGAGGTCCAAAACAACTACCATGTGACTGTTGTCTTCAGAGATGTCCAGTAAGTGTGCAGGGTGCCTTGTGGATATTTCAGGACAGAACAAATGGCACCTAGCCCTTCAGGAATGATGTGCCCACTTGACATTTTATCTTATGGGTTCAATTTGCTTACCCAGCACAGAGGCAGCTGTGGAGGGACAGCCAGGACAAGAGCCCTGGCTTAAAGTCCCAGGTCTGTCACTAATTTGCTATGTGACCACAGGAAGTCGCTTAATCTTCCTGAACCTGAGTCAAAGCAAAGGAGTAAAATACCTGCTTTCCTTTCCTCTCTGGCTGCTGGGAAAGTCATATGAGAGAAAGAAAATACTTGGAAAATATTATCCAACGGGAGGGATGATTGTTGGAGCAATAGTAACACAGAGAATCCTATCAACCACCCCAGTTTTTTTTTTTTTAACACTTTTCTCTCCACTCCCTCCTTTTTTGGGATGAGTTCTGGGGGTCTAGCAGAAGTGGAGAAGTCACTATTGCAGAGATTAGTTTATCTGTTCCTCACTCAGTGAAGAGTGGGAATCACTGTTTTAAGTAGAGGAGACAACATCAAAGCCACATTAATACATGATTGGTCCAAGGAGGGGGTGACCATGCAGAAGTATTCTAGAGTCAGGAAGGAGGGTACCATAATTTCTTCTGTAACAGCCATTGCTGAGCAGAATGGTTTTCTCTCTTGCTTTTTGGTTGTGGTGGCCTTGAGAATCTCTGACTTGGAAGCTCATTTGGAGTTTTGCAAAAAATATTATTTTAATTTCCTCGTCATTATAATTCATTTTTGATCTCAGACACTGTACTTAAAGCCCATGCAATCCTCTGGAGGAAGCTTGATCACCTAAACTTCAGAGATGTTTGACTTGCCCAATATTTATGTTCAGTTATTTATTTCTGTCACTAGGAATTCATGAATATTTATATTATTCTGTGGGAAACCAGGGTCTGTTTGATTGAAGAAACAGTCTAAAGCAGGCTCTGATCCCTTCCTTTTATGATACAAAGAAATGGGTGTCAGGAGAGGGGCTGTGGATTCATATATGTGACCCCAAAAGGCAAGACTAAGATCCATGGAGGTCACCGGAAGGTCAATGTCATTGTATTATTTTCAGCTATTATTTTCAGCAAGTCACCATTTCTGGCACAAGGTACAGCCCCGTCACTGAAGTCTGACCACTTACATTAACTCCTGGTCGAAATTGAAGCCAAAACTCTTGTGTTCTGTCCCTGCAGGCTTGAAAGTGGCTGTAACTACGACTATATTGAAGTATTTGATGGCCCCTACCACAGCTCCCCTCTGATTGCCCGTGTTTGTGATGGGGCCAGGGGCTCCTTTACTTCCTCTTCAAACTTCATGTCCATTCGCTTCGTCAGTGATGGCAGCATCACGAGGAGGGGCTTCCAGGTCAACTACTATTCCAGTCCTTCCAATGACAGCACCAGTAAGTCCCCTTGTGAGGGCTCATTGTCAAGAGCACCTCTGAGGCCCTTCTGCTGCTCAACCCTTCTGTGGTTGTGAAATAAGAAATTAGAGCAGCTTTGTCAGGTCACTGAGGCTTATCTGGTGCTGGGAGAATCCAAGAGCAGTGGTCTTGGGACTCTGGCTTCCCAGAAATGAGGTCAAGGGCCAGAATTGGCTGATGGGCAGTATGGTGGCCTTACTATGGTCATCAGAGACTAAATGGAAGATGCAAGGTCATACTTTCAGCACATGGTGAGATATCTGTGCCAAGGACACAGGTGACCTTGTGGCCACTGTGACTATGTTCTGAGACAGCACATTTGGCTGTCTAACCAGTCACTCAGCTACTTCCACCAAATGGCCATGACTTGAATGGTTAAATGGATTGATTTAGATTGGCTTAGGGATTGGGCAAGGTGATATCCAAGCTCTCTTTTGCAGTTGGGATTTCTAGCATTGACCTGTTCCGTATCCCAGCCATTCAAATGGAGCATTATGGATAAATGGCAGGCTGACAAAAACATTTTACTCATTTCATGTCCTGCCTCCATTTCTCCATCAGGGGAATCCCAAGTCCCTGTGCCCTTTAAAGGGGTCTTGCAAGAATGACACTGACCTGAGTCATGGGGCAGCTGGGGGGTTGAGATGAAGCCTATTCCGATGTGGACTGTCTTTAGCCACCATCTTGGTCTCTGCACCTTTCTATGGGAGGAGTGCCTGGCAGGCTTGCTGAGATTCTGACTGCCTCTGTTGTTTGCCCTTGGACACTAGAGCTGCTTTGTCTGCCAAACCACATGCAAGCCACCGTGAGCAGGAGCTACCTCCAGTCCCTGGGCTACTCTGCCAAAGACCTTGTCATTCCCAGCTGGAATGAAATCTACCAGTGTCAGCCCCAGATAACGGCCAGCCAGGTGACATTCACAATTCCTTACTCAGGCTGTGGCACCATCAAGCAGGTAAGCCTAAAGCTTTCTACTCTGTCTCCTGCTGAGTAATCTTTCTTAAAATGATGTATGCTATCTTTCTTGAATTCTTGATGCTATAACCAGTATAATCAGGGTGAAGATTGGTGCCATGATGTAGCTACAGCTACTTCCAAATGTAAGGATGAGGAAGGAGATTTCCTTCAGCACCCTGTTTTCCCCACCCTGTCGGGCATAGAGGGTACATGGCAGGTTGCTACTCACATCAACAATGACCATAGCATCTCCCAGGGGCAGCTCCAGGTTTCATTAGGCCTGAAGCTTATGGAGTTTGGAATTGGGGTTGGTGAGAGGGTTGGGTGCCTCACTAAACAGAAAAACACAAACTTTCATAAATCTCGTAAAAACATATGGCTGTGCCAACTCACCGTTAGGCCTTGGAAGAAACCATGCATGTGGGGAGCCCTTTATTAGCTTCACAGTAAATCAGCCTCTGCAGCTACCATGTGCTGAGCTGTCAGCATCTAGGGTGGCCCACTGTCTTGGTTTGCCTGGGCCTTTGCAGATTTCAACATGGCCAAGTCCCATATCCCACAAAACTCCTCAATCCTGAGCAAACTGGATGGTTGCTTGTCCTACTGGGGACCAGACATTGGGATTGGCCCATGTCACACTCCCCAAATCCCCATCAAGTGGTTGTCTTATCATCAACCAACTTTAAAAATAAGGAGGTTGGGCTTCAAGGAGTCAAGCGAGTTGCCCAATACCACTTGGCCAAGAAATGGTAGGACAAATGCCAGACTCTGTGCATCTCAAAAACCTCACACTGAGTGAAAGAAGCCAGCCGCACAGGCATACCTGCTCTTTGATTCTGTGTCTATAAAATTCAGAAATGGAGAATAAGTGAAGAATGGAAAGCCATCATTGGAGGGGACTGCCTGTAAAAGAGCAGGAAGGAGCTGTTTTGGTTCATGGAAATGTTCTGTGTCTTGTGGTTGTGCTGATTGTTAAGCCTCACAGAATGGCACACTTACAATGATTGCATTTAATTTTACACAAACTCATTTTAAATTATATATTCTAAGTTCTGAATGTTGGGCTGACACCTAAGCAATGATTTCAAGATTTTGTCTGTCAGGGAAGAGGCACAGTGCAAATGTTTTTATGTGGCTTCAGACTGCAGTAAACACACAACAGAAATGCTCGAATATATACAATGTGCGTGACACACACACATTCAGAGGGTGTCAACTTGTCATTCACCAAAGATGTACCAAGCATTTGCTGTGAGCCACTAGCAGGTTAGGCGCTGAGAAGATGCTGCTCATTACCTGGCAAGGTCATTCCTGATCCTTTGATACATAAGAAACAGTGGGAGAGGAAGGGGACGGTCATTTAGCCAAACAAATTGGCCTGTCAGCCATGAGTGGGCACCTAGACCCAAGGGTCTAAATGTAGCCATTTCCTTAGACCTTACAGACACTGGCTTCTTTTCCTCAGTTCTTACAGACGCCAGCTCTCCTTCTGAGATGAACCGAGTGGGTCAGGGAGACCTACATGCAGAGAAAGGTGCATATCACTCATGCCACGCAAATATTCTAGTCAACCTGGCTTTTTATACTTTGCCCTATAATTTAGTTGTGTTGGATTCTGGTTTTCCATGAGTTTAATCAGTGGGAGTCAGTGCACCAAAGGTGATTATCTTTCCTGGTTCCAAATGTGTAGCCTGGAGACTCTGACATCTGGGCCACCTCATCAATGTTCCTTCATCTCCATTAGGAGGCACCTAAGCAACGGGCCAGTGCTGAATCTTCCAAGTTGGCTGGTGGTGGGCAATGCGTGCTACATTCTCATTCCTCCATTTATTTCAATGCCTGCATTCCCTACTGGGCTGAGTGCCTCAGGGCAGAGCCAATGTTTTATTCATCTTTGCCTTTATAATCAGATTATTAACCCCTAATCTGTATGCCAGCAACTGAACTAAATTCTAAATGACTTTTGAAATTCTCGGGGCAACTTTTATTCCCACATAACCATGAGGAAACAGAAGCTTACAGAAGTAAAGCCACTTGCCCGAGGCCACATGGTCATGAACTGCAGAGCCAGGATTCAAAGGTGGGGTGGCACACGGTGTCTGACAAATGTGGGCTGTGTGTCTGAATAGGTGAGGTCTCCCCACCATAGGAGAAGGATGCCAGTCTGAAAGAGTCTGAGTCTTCATGGCAATAGCAGTTGATTTATCTGCAAGTCTCCCCATTACATAGTGAGTTCCTTCCAAACTGAGCAGATATCTACTAATGACTTGTAATATAAGATCAGAACTGATTTTTATGATCAAGAAATAAACCTGCACTCCACAGTCATTGCTTGGAATGGATTCAGAATTTAGCTTGACCATATAAGTCAGGGACAAATGTGAATTCTAAGAAAACTTTGGTTTCGGTGTAGGGAGTGAAATTGAAGACACCTCAGCTAGTCCCTGAAGGAATAATCGTGTGACATCTATATGGTTTCTTTTGACAACCACTTGCTCTCAAATATAAATCCAATTCTTTATTTTAAAATTATTTTTAGAAAATATAGTGTATTTTCCATGCACGGATGGTGGGCATAAAATAGATGAGGTCTCTCGGCCCCACTGAAGGACACCTTCCCCACACCTGAGTCCAGGGGGTTCTGGCACTCCCCTGCTGTCTGGGGCTGCAGAGACCTCCCAAGCCACCCAATGGAGAAAAGGAAAAGGAGGGGAAGGATGGATTCTAGGGTTGACAAAACACTTTAAATTACTTGTTAAAATATTCTCTTTTCACATGTTTTTCTGGAAGGGACAAATTCAGTTGAGTTCTGCAATGCAGGCATGAAATGAAAGCCTTTCCAACACATTCTGTTTTGTTTTGTTTTTTAATTTTGGGAGAGAGCATGTTCATGTGTGCACAAGTGAGGGAGGGGCAGAGAGAGAGAGGGAGAGACAGAATCCCAAGCAGGCTCCACACTGTCAGCACAGAACCTGATGCGGGGCTCAAACTCACGAACCTTGAGATCATGATCTGAGCCCAAGTCAGGAGTCGGATGCTCAACCAATTGAGCCACCAGGTGCCCCCCAACACACTCTGTTCTGAAGAACAATGATATTTAAGGCATACAAGTGCTGGCTGCAGCAGAGAACTTGCTTAAACTCCCAGATGGCCAGGATCTAGGTTTTGTTCTGGACAGGGTACATGACTAAATGTGACTATGTGGCACACCTCTTTTATTTTTTTTGAAGAGTAATTTAGCCTCACATTTTAGGACTTCTATTTAAGCCACTATAGTGTTATTTTTGTGCTTGTTCTTGCAAAATCACCTGTGGCTTGTGGGAATTCATACTTGGCTAGCAAAATGAGGTTTGCTTCTGACCATTGTAACACTGGGAGGGGAAGTGTTACCCCTGTCTCTGCCTAGCAATGACTGGCTTGTGCTCACCTCACTTGGGGCCAGGTGATCATGACCGTGAAGCAGCCAGAGGACCTCATTTATCTGTGTCTTCTTGGCCATCTGGGCCCTATTCTTCATTCATGACAGTACTTTTGCTGTCCCCTGTCCCCTGTGCCTTTCATTCATTCCATGGTTTTTATTGATGCTGGTAGTATTGGTAACACCATGCAAGTGATGATACCTGATAACATCATTTTTTTTTCCTTGAGATGCTCACAGACCAGTGAGTGCAAGACTCTCATCCTTAGAAGGTCAGTCTTAGGAACATCAAACAGCATGAGAGACCAACATTCCTATGAATTTGCTGCTTGGTAAAAGGCACAGTAGGAAGCAGTCCTGGGGTACGAGAAGTGGAAAAGTAGAGTGTGACAGGACAGTGTGGCAGCATTGTTGCATCCCATTCAATTGTCTACCTGAGCCTCTGGGGGAGCCCCTACCCCAGAGGTCACTTCCAGTTCTGGCAACCTCAGAGCTGCAATAGCTACTAAGCTATCCAAACAGCACAGTGACAACTAATCCACCAGCCCTTCCCCCAAGTACATAGTCATCTCCCTTGGTTTCTCCCAGCCATGGTGAGAATAAAGCAAAGCCAGAATGAAAGGCCCTGAGCCATGGAGTTGTGCAGCATGGCAAGAGGTCATCCAGACATACCTATCTTCCCATGAGGAGTGGTTCCCAGGAAGCCCCAGGAAGCCCCAACACCTGGCCCACACGGTAGACCCCATCACATGGCAGAGGAAGGAAGTTGTGTGAAAGGAAGGAGTCCTGCTAGTTAAGCAGCTTGCCTGGCCCAGGTAATGGGAGTCATGGCAGTAGTGATGTGCCTTCTCTATGTGGTCCTGGGAGGGTTTTGAAGTCTGGCTGAGTCACTTCCCTCTCATTGTAACCCAAATCAGCAATGAGCTTCCCTTAGCAAGTGACACTTGCTTGACTTTGTTCTCCTGCCTTCCTCTCCCAGGTTGATAATGATACCATCACCTATTCCAACTTCCTCAAAGCAGCTGCTCCAAATGCCATCATCCAGAGGAAGAAGGACTTCCGCATTCATATCAGCTGCAGAATGCTCCAGAACACCTGGGTTGACACTATGTACATTGCTAATGACACCATCGAGGTCAAGGAAGTGCAGTACAGCAATTTTGACGTGAACATTTCCTTTTATACATCCTCTTCATTTTTATATCCTGTGACCAGCAGCCCATACTATGTGGACCTGAACCAGAACTTGTACCTTCAAGCTGAGATCCTCCATTCTGACACCTCCTTGGCCTTGTTTGTGGATACCTGTGTGGCATCTCCATATTCCAATGACTTTACATCTTTGACTTATGATATTATCCGGAGTGGGTAAGGAATGTCTTCATGGAGTGAAGGTCAACCTTCACCTGACAATTCAAACATGAGTAGCCCAAAGTTTCAAGGAATGCAGATTTCGGTTCTAGTAATTCCAACCCAACCATTCAGGTTGTCATTCTTGATAGGGAGACAGATGTGTGGAGAAGTGAATGAGTCACCAGTAACCACCAGGCAGGTTAGGCTGTAACTAGGTTTTGACCCAGATGACCAAACTCCATAAGAAGACATGTGTAGTGGGGAAAGCCTTGATTCTGCAGCAGATCGAGATTGAGATGGCAGCTCTGCCATGTACCAGCTGCATCGCCATGGACAGGCAATCGCATCTCTCCTGAACCACTCTCTTCACCCATTAGATGAGCATAGTGATGCTCACATCATAGGCTGTTGGGAGGATGAGATGGGAGGGGGATAGATAGGCCCTGGGCAAAGAGCAGGCATAGCAGATGGTCCACAAGGAAGGTTGTAGGTGAGTAGCAGGGGTCAGCAAGGATCCTTTAACCTAACAACTGAGAATGGTGGTTCTAACCAAGCTCAAGAAATGCAGAGGTGAGGCCATTGGTGCCCAGGCTGGGGTCACTGGTGCCCAGGTTGGGCTTCTCTACCACAGTCTTGCTTCCCTGGATGACAGGACTCTGATGAGGTGGAATTTGCCTCTTCTGAGCTCAGAGAGGACTCCTGGGGCACTGGCATGTGCAACTCCCATCCCTACTCCTTTGTCTTTGTCCATTGGTGTGTACACCATTTCTTGGCTATAATTATTTTTAAAAAATTTAATATTAATTTATTTTTGAGAGAGAGAGACAGAGCATGAGCAGGAGAGGGTCAGAGAGACAGGAAGTCACAGAATCTGAAGCAGGTTCCAGGCTCTGAGCTATTAGTGCAGAGTCCAACATGAGGCTCGAACCTACAAACCCTGAGATCATGCCCTAAACCAAAGTTGGCCGCTCAACCGACTGAGGCACCCAGCCACCCCTTGGCTATAATTTGACCTTGGCACCTCAGTAACAATCACATAGAAGCACAATTTAGAAATTGTGCTGATGGGCTAAGGGGCTCTGTTATGAATCAGGGTTGGGAGGATAAATCTTATACCTTCCTGAGATACTAAAAACAGCATCTCTTTCCAGGCACAGTTTGAATATGTGTCAATTTGGTAAATAGGTGTCAAGGCCTAAGGTCTTGTTCCATTTATGCAGTTGGTTCAATTCACAGCAACCCCTTTGACAGCAAAGATGGGAGAGAAGCTTACCCAAATTCTCTTTCTACAAATAGTAACAAGGTGACATTTGAATTTACGTCAAATGATTGAGATTAACGCAAGTGAGTGATTTTGCTCTTCTCTGCTGAAAGATTCCTTTTGGCCAAATTCTGGCATAATATGTATATAAGATAACACAATGCCCCCAGGAAAGGGGGATGTGCATGTGGGGGTAGATGTGGGCCCAGCTGTACCTGGAGAACAGGGACTCATTGGCTACATCTGGCCATCAACCAGATCACCCACCCGGGTGCCCTTTAGAGTAATCTGGAGCTTCAAACACACCCATGCCCAGCCCCCACCTGCACATTCTCTTTATTTGGTCTGTGGTGGGGTTTGGGGATCTGCATTTTTAAAAATTTCCCCCAGTGGCTCTGAAGTGCATCCTGGTTCTGGAGCTCTGGCCTACACAGACCGCCCTGACTTGTGTGGTTTTGTGGGAAATGCAGTTATTTCCCAGCAGCCCCTGAGTTACCCTGACCTCATTTATAACTGTCCTACTTCCTGACGAGGCTCTGGGTACTTTCTCTCTCACCTTTGCTGCTAAAGTGACTCCTGTGGGGAAAAGAACATGGTATATGAGAGAATGTGCTGAAAGTGGAGAAAGGAACTTCTGGATCACGTTCCCAGGCAGAGTCAGGCTGCCCTAGTGACAGCTCCCGTCCACCACAAAAATCTCCGCCTCAAACCCCACGGGCCACTTGCTTTGCTCTCCTCTTTGCTAGGTCACACCAAATCTTACAGTAGGAGATAGATACTCATGGGTTCAGCAAGCTCCTTCCTCATCTGGAGGTGGAGCTGGGAGACACTCCTCATCTGTATCTTAGTACAGTTCTTTCAGGGGATTCGTAAGTCATGTTCCATCTAGCACAGTTGAGACAAGGCAACTGAGGGAAGAAGGAGGTGGTTAATATCGGAGTAGGGGGTGCTGAGCATAGTCAGGCTGGTGTGGAAGGTACAGCCACCCGAGCCAGGTCAGGAGACACAGCCCCAGAGAGAGAGCAGCACCAGAGATACCAGAGAGTAGCCAGGTGTCACCTTTCCTGGCCCTGAGACCAGGAAAGGAAAGGAAATGCCATCTTCCTGCTGCTCGCCTTCTCTCTGGGCCCTGTGACCTCCCCGGGTCACCTGGATTGCCAGGGCCACTGAGCACATGGTCACTGGGCACCCATTGTGCAACCCAGGGCCTGCTTGTCTATGCAGAGACCCTGGGCTGATTTCCTGCTTTAAGATGCTGCTGACGAGCCAGAACTGGGATTTTCCTGGAGGCTTCAGGGCCATGTCTGAACCACACATTCTGAGGGAAGGAAGAAGCAGCAGAGAACGCGGGCCTAGAGGAGGCCGAGGGGTTGCATGCCTGGCCCAGGCGTGTCCTGAGGAAGGCAGCCTGGGGCTGACAAGCTGCTTTTCTCTTCTTCCAGGTGTGCCAAGGACAGAACCTACCAGTCTTACTCTCAGCCGTCGCCTCGCATTGTCCGCTTCAAATTCAGTTCCTTCTACTTCCTGAATCGCTTCCCCTCCGTGTACCTGAAGTGTAAAATGGTGGTGTGCAGGGCAGACGACTCCTTCTCCCGCTGCCACAGAGGCTGCATCGTGAGGTCCAAGAGGGACGTGGGCTCCTACCAGGAGAAGGTGGACGTCGTCCTGGGACCCATTCAGCTTCAGGCCCCACACGCCGTGAAGAGGAGCCTGGGCTAGGTGGCCGCTCTCCCACCCCTAGGCCTGTGGCCCACGGGGACCCGGCATGATTCTGTCAGTGTTGTGTTCCACCTCAGATCGGGCCCCCACCATATGCCGGGCCCTGCCGCACGACACTGGGCGATGTAGAGTTTGCTAGACCTACTTCCCGCCTTCTTCCACGGGCTCCTGGCCTATGGGGACCGTGTGTAGTGCTTGGCCAAGAGAGTTCTGACCTGTGACACCGATACCTTTGTCCTCTGGGATCTGAACTCCCAGAACCTCATATTCCTCCTCTGTAACACAAAAATGTTAATACTTACCTATTAGGACTGTTAAGGAGGTGCAATAAAATGTTAGTTAAACTGCCTTGACCTCTTCCTGGTTCAAGTTCTTGGGTGTGATGAATGGTGGCTTTTGTTACTCTTGTCATTGTCACCAATATCAACAACATAACATTAATGATAATGTTATTACTTGTGACGGTAATAACAAGGGCCTATGTTCCCGGGCACAGTGGAATCGGGGTCTAGGCCAGGCCGTGTGATGCAAGCAGGATTGGTCTATGACCACTGCTCACAAGGCTGACGTCTTCTCGGTGGTCGGCCATTTCACTCTCCTCTTCTAGAACAGGGATGGCATTTCCTGCTCTGCTGTTGTGTTGTGGGTGTGGATAAGGAGATGTCAGCAGACATACCTGGGCTTTCTGGTCCAGGCTGACAGGTCAACAGCTGTGGCAGCACTGGTGACAGGGTTAGGTGTGGGGTAGCGATTGTCATCACGAACCTCTTGGCTATTGGGTTCCATTCCGCCCCAGGGACATCTTTGGCAGCTCTGTCTCCTTGTGACACGTATTCTAGTGCCCGTATGTCCAGCTGATTCTAGACTCTTCACGTAAGCACTCATCCCATGCACATTCATTGAAGGACTCTTAGGTGCCAGGAGACAAACAAACAGAAAGAGATCAAAGTCCTGCCCACATGGAGCTTACATTCCATGGGAAGGGGATGCAATTTAGAGATAAGTTGAGTGCACGGTACTTCCAGTGGGGTGGGAGCCACGGAAAGGAAGCAGGACAGGGTGACTGGTAAAGGGGGCCAACAGGTAACGCCACTCACCTTTCTCTCCTCTCTTCTCTTCCCATGGGCACTGCCATCTCTGCTGGGGTCTTCCTGGCTGTGGCAGCTCCACCCTGGGGAAGAGCACCCTCGTGGCCTGTGGCTGGCCTCCAAGCCCTAAGATATGAAACCAGGAGAATGTATGTGGTGCTCAAACATTGGCCCCACCTGCTCTGGAACCCATCTGATAAAGGAAGGTAAGAGACCCCAGAGCTTGGCCCCCAGCAGCACCCCAACTTTGTTTACCTTGTCACAGGTGCAAGGTCAGGGGCAGACAGGTAGTGACTGGTTTTACTGGACACACAGGCTTGATGCTGGGACAGAAGGTCAAGGAAGCAGGTGCCAATATCTTAAAATCCTTCAGGCAGCTCTGAGCCAACAGAGAGCAAAAAAGCAGGAGAGCTCTTTCTAGATGGAATCTCTCTCTCTCTCTTACTATAAGCTAAGTTCTTTGGAAGTGGTATACTTCTTAGCCTTTACTTACGATAGAAAAGCTGAATAAAGAATTTTTTTCAAAGCAAATGTTGGTTTGTTCAGTGTTTCTAGTAGTTCACCTAAGCATTGGGTCCCTTCAAATTCAGGAAACAGATAGGGCGGGCTGTCAAAAGTAATGACAAAGGCCATAGTCTCTGCCTTGTGGCTTCCACAAGTCTAAGGAATAGATAAGGTGTCTTCCTTTGTGCTGGACATGTTTTGGTTCTCCCCAAAACAGGAAATTCAGGGTAAAGGCTTGAGAAAGATCAGAATGCTAATGCAGCATATTTAGTGCCTGAGACTGAAAATTAAAACAGTTGATTCACTTTTCCAGGGATCTGTATCTTCTGGCTTTTGACCTCACATCCAGCACTGTGGACGGGGCAGTGGGTGCGGGAGGGGAGAGAGATTAGGGAAGAAAGAAAACTCCTCAGGGTCCCTAGATTTCTGGGGCCTGTTTGCACTGTAATCTCCAAGGACAAATTATATTGACAGGTGGCCCTAGGATATTAGAAGAAGCAAAACGATGAGATGGTTTCCAAGGAGGCGGTAAATTTGATTGAAGCTGGGAGAGCAACCACGCTCTGGGCACCTAGATCAGGCTTAGTAAGAATCGGAACTTTCGCATATTGCCATGGCATTGCCAATGTTTGTCCCTCTGAGCCAGGGTGAGGACCCTGGCCCTGAGAGGGGACTGCCAGGGGAAGCCTAACCCCAGGCATGTGACTTGAGCAGGTGAAACCCACAAGGGCAGCAGCTATAGGCAAGCATTCAGGACGAGAGTAGAATTCCACGAGTGGTGGCCACGGCTGCCAGTGGATGAGGGCTGACTGAGAGGCGGGAAGCAGCCGCAGGGAGAAATCTTCAGTCCATTTCCCATAGGATGCCGGTGACCTTCTCCCCTCTCCACCCTCCCCACTCCATGAGCTCTGCCAGGGAGCGTAGGAACCAGAGGGCCTGTGGAGTTTTCCGGTTTCCATTCTCCTTGCCTTCCTCAACCACACTCGCCCTGCTCTCTCAGACTGGGGTGACTGAGGAAAGCATGGAGGATCACCCATGATAGTGAGTCTGTCCTAAAGAGCAAGGACGATGCCATGAAATGTAAGCACCAGACCAGGATCTGAGCAGGTGCAGAAGGCGCAACCTGGAGCCGGCACATGGGTATGAAGTACACATCAGAGGAGTAAAGCAACAGCTGGACATCCAAGAGCTGCTAAAAGGATCAGAGCCTGGGAAGCAGCACAGATCATTCATTTGTTCATTCTGTGGGATGCTAGCCCCAAGCCAGCCTCCGTGCCTGGCCCTGGGGATACAGAGAGGGGTTTACAATGGTCCTACCTTTGTAAAGTGGAAACATGTTACACCAGACTCCTCTTGGATTCTTCTCTCTTGTTGTGAATATCCCCTCCCACTCAGGAGCTGGCCATCCTTTCTGGATGACCACCATGTTGACTTAGGCCTGGCCATGGGCTCTTAGCAGCCATCAAAGGGAGAGGAGATGACCCCTTCCTCAGCACAAGGTTGGGTTCTGTATATTTCAGCAAAGTGGTGTGGATGTGGCTAGTGGGTAACGAGTCTCTCCCTGGGAGCTGGGGCTCTGGCCATGGAGAACTGGAGCAGAGAGCACCACAGGATAGCTCAGGGGGCCCCTGCATCTCTAGCGAGGAGCATAGAGGAGATGACCAGAGCCTAACTGTAGGGCAGCTATATAGGTGGGTAGGTGACAGCTTAACAGATACCAGACAGTGAATGGCTGATGTGGACAGAAGAGCGTGGGAACAAGAGACAGGGCCAGGGAGAGAGAGAGGCAGAAGCTATGGCTGTTGGCGACGGGGACATCGAGTCAGTCCTCAGGCTCTGGACAGAGGCTATAGAAGAGGCCAGGGCCAGATAGACAGTCTGTCGGGCAGCAGCCCCCTGTGTCTGTACCACGCTGGGGCAGGGTGGACATGATGTGAGTTGCGGAGATTTCCAGCAACCCAGACTCGCGTAGGGCAGGGTGTCCACTCCAGGCTATACAGGAGGATTAGTTCAGGGCTTTCAAGCTTCTGCTGCCTACGTGTACCCAGACAGAATTCCTGGGGGTGGGCCTGACATCGGCGATTTAAAATATCCAGGGGTTCCTGACCAGTAAAATTGAGAACCACTGTGCAGAAGCCCTTAAGTGCTTCTGAAGAGGCCAGTTGGGGCCTTTCCTACTGAGAAGGCTCAGAGAAGGTACACGGTCCCTGGTGTTCACATGGGGGGAATCTGGAGGCTGGGCCAGAAGGCTTGCCCTGACTCCTCCCAGACACTTTTTGACTGGATACCTACTCAACTTATTCTAAAGAGAACATCCTCAATGGCATTTTCAAAAAGGACCTCATGTTGCCTCAACCTATCGTCTCAATAAAAACATACGTGGAGATGCTAGTTCAGAATCCCTTGCTGGCATTGACTTTGACATGGAGTGACACACTATCCCCCTGACTGCTGTGTGGGTCAGGGACGATCATCTCATCCTGGCAGGGAAGAACGCCACGGCTCAGAGAGGTGACACAGCACAGAGTCCAGGCAGGACAGGGCCAGGGCTTGCCAGGGAGGCTGCGGAGCCCCATGCTTAAACTCCTCGTACCGGGTTTTCCTCCCTCCCCGTGGCCCCAACAGCCCAGGGAGACAGGCCTCACAGAGGGTTCGCATCCCTTGCTGCAGCTGTGGGGGGTGGGACCCGTCATCTTTAAGGAAACTGGTGCAAAATGAGGGATTTTCAGAGGCTGTGGACATCTACAGCGCAGCGAGATGTCTCACGGTGCCCGGGGGTATGGCTCCTCCAGGCTCCCTGCACCTTCAGGACCGGCTCAGAGCCCACTCACTGCCCCTCAGCTGTACCCGCAGCAGAATGACTGACACCCCCACGCTCTGCTCCAGTGACCAGGAGAACCTGTCCTGAGTGGCCCCTTCCCCATCTGGGCACAGAGCCTGCCTTCCAGCCCCTCCCAGACAGCAGCCCCTCTGGGCTCACACTCCTGCCCTGCCTCCTGGGATCACGAGAGGGCGCCACAGCTCTGCCTTGGGCCTTCTGCTTCTAGGGAACTTGTGACTTGGTTCCCTGTGGGTGCCTGTGCTTGTCCCTTACAGGAGGCTCTTCCACAGTAGTTTGCTCTAACAAAGAGCCGCCTCTGCCTCCTCTCCCTGCCTTAACGAAACCAGAATCCTACCGCGATCTCAACAACAGTGGGGTTGATATTTCCCGTTTCACCTGAGTCTCACGGCAGACCGAGGAGGCTGCCCAGCGGCTCCCTGGGTACTGCCCCCCAGACCCGTCCCTGGTTCAAGGAGCCCTGGAATGCCCCGCACAGGATTCTGTCCAAGGTGGGGACTCGTTTCCAGCAGGAGTGATCAGGGGAGCTTCCGCGTGAGCCACACAGGGACAGCCTCAGCTCACGGCTGCTCCAGGGGCCGTGAACGTACGTGATTTTCCTGTTGATTCCTCTGCTGGCTGGGACGTAGGGGACCAAGGCACACGCAGCCTCGATGCGTGCCAGCTGGAAGGAGGAGGTCAGCTCAGGCCACCTCCAGGTTCAGAAGACTGAGAGGCACAGCACAAGTCCCCTTACCTGAGCCCGCCTCTCCAGCTGTTTTGCCTCGCTTTGCCTCTCAGCCCCAGCTTGGGGTCTCTGGCCCGAGGCCACCCGCAGGTGACAGCTCCAGTCTTCCAGAGCTCTACCTCTTTGTGTAGCCTGACACATTACCGTCCATGCTCTGAAATGAACACCAGCATGCCTGAGAGATCACAGA